TATATATATATATATATATATATATATAGAGAGAGAGAGAGAGAGAGAGAGAGAGAGAGAGAGGGAGGGGTTGGGTTCACATGAGACCAATGGTTTTTCGTGAGACCCGTAAGACCAATTTATGTTCATTGATCAACTTTTTAAGCTAATGGTCTAAATTGCATGATGACAATTTTATGATTATTGAGAAGTCTCATGACATTTATCAATGTTCAGATTGTAAATCTAATCCAAAAGTTGAGAATTGGTCTTACGAATCTCACGAAAAACCTTTGATCTTATATGATTCCAAGTCTCATATATATATATATATATTATGAACCTAATCATGTAATAATTGAGGATTAGAGGACCACAGTATATGAAGAGTGGACCCTATTTTGACTTTGAAAAACTGTTTGAAAATTAAAAATACTCACTCCTCTTTCTTTCTTTCTTTCTTTCTTTCTTTCTTTCTTTCTTCTTCAACTACTGCAAACGGTTGACTTTTTTCAAACCCTTTACATATGTTGCAATGCATTAATTCTCTCTTCACAAAACCCAACGATTTCAACTTCTAAAGTGTCTGGGAATGGCCACACGCTGCGGTGGCCATTAATGGTCTCTCTCTCTCTCTCTCTCTTATCTCCTCTCAATCTGCACGTAAAACCATAGCAGCAGCCATGCACTGACCACCCACCACCTCTTTAATATTCTTCATCCCATTAAGAGCTGCTGCCTCCATGAACAACCACCATCATCCATAACCCACATCATACTTTCTTCTGTTTCTGCAACTCAGATTCATGGCGAAACAGGTTTTACAATTTGTTGCTCTGATTTTGTTTTCTTCTCTGTTGTTTGGGTGTGTTGTGTCTGAGGATTTGGATTCTGCTACCACTTTGAAGCTTCTATTGGAGGTTAAACGATCCTTCACTCAAGACCCACAAAATGTTGTCAAAGATTGGTCTGAGAAAAACACGAGTTTCTGTAGCTGGAATGGTGTTTCTTGCGCCGGAAAGTTTTCTCAGGTGGTGGGTCTCAACCTCTCCGGTTCATCTCTCAGTGGCTCAATCTCACCCTCCATTTCCCTTTTACAGAACCTGCTCCACCTTGATCTTTCAACGAATCAGCTCTCTGGTCCCATCCCACCTAATATCTCTACTCTCACCTCCTTGTCTTCTCTCCTCCTCTTTTCCAACCAACTCTCCGGTCACATTCCGCCGGAGCTCGGTTCTCTGTCCAGCCTTCAAGTCCTCCGAATCGGTGACAACCGCCTCACCGGACCTATCCCACCTTCCTTCGGTGATCTCCATAATCTCGTGGTTCTTGGTTTGGCCTCGTGTGATCTCTCTGGGCCAATACCACCACAGCTAGGAAGGCTCACCAAGCTCCAGAATCTGCTCATAAAAGAAAATCAATTGCAAGGACCCATCCCTCCGGAGCTCGGCAACTGTACGAGCCTGTTATTGTTCACGGCTGCCATTAACAACCTAAATGGTTCGATCCCAGACGAATTATGCAATCTCAAGAGCCTCCAAACGTTGAACCTGGCCAACAACACTTTATCCGGAGAGATACCTAGCCGGATTGGCGAGCTGAATCAGCTCGAATACTTGAATTTTCTTGGGAATCGGCTCCAAGGACCCATTCCCAAGTCACTGGCTCAACTGAAAAGTTTGTGGATGCTCGATTTATCTGCAAACAAGCTCAGTGGGGACGTCCCTGTAGAATTGGGGAACTTGGGTCAGCTGGGTTATCTAGTGCTGACAAACAACAGCCTTTCTGGGTCCATTCCTAGAAATATATGTTCTAACAGCAGCAACACTTTGGAGCATCTGGCGCTTTCCCAGAATATGTTTTCTGGTGAAATACCCAAAGAATTGGGAGATTGCATGTCGTTGAAAATACTCGATTTGTCCAACAATACACTCAACGGATCGATACCCGTGGAGCTTTTCGAATTAGTCGATTTGACCGACTTCTGGCTCAATAACAACACACTCACCGGTTCCATTTCTCCGGCAATCGCGAATCTCAGTAATCTGGAGACATTGACGTTGTTTCAAAACAAGTTGGACGGGGAAGTACCGAAAGAAATTGGAATGCTTCAGAAGCTCCAGATCCTTTATCTGTATGAGAATCAGCTATCCGGAAGAATCCCGTTGGAGATCGGAAACTGCTCCAGCTTGCAAATGATTGATTTATTTGGGAACCATTTCAATGGCGAAATACCGGTTACTGTAGGGAGGCTCAGTCAGTTGAACTTCATTCATCTGAGACAGAATGATCTCTCTGGAGATATTCCGGCCACTTTTGGTAATTGCCATCAGCTCACCATCATAGACCTTGCTGATAACAGTCTCACCGGTGGAATTCCGGCGACTTTTGGGTACTTGAGCTCATTAGAACAGCTCATGATTTACAACAACTCTCTACAAGGCAATCTCCCCAAAGAGCTAAGCAAGATGGCGAATTTGACGAGGGTGAACCTCTCGAACAACAAATTGAATGGTAGTATCGTTCCTTTGTGTAGTTCGAGATCATTTCTATCGTTTGATGTCACCAACAATGAATTTGATGGCGAGATACCATCGCAGTTTGGGAATTCACCATCTCTTCAGAGGCTAAGGCTTGGAAGGAACCGATTTACAGGGAGAATTCCATTGGCGTACGGAAATATACGAGACTTGTCGCTATTGGATTTGTCGACCAACTTGCTCGTGGGTTCTGTGCCTCAGGAACTTTCGAGGTGTAAAGAACTGACTCATATTGATCTCGATAATAACCTCCTCTCGGGTCCGATCCCATCCTGGCTCGGAAACTTACCTCTGTTGGGAGAGTTAAAGCTCTCATCCAACAAGTTTACGGGCTCTATTCCATTGAACTTGTTCAACTGCTCGAAACTTTTAGTTCTTTCGCTCGATGCTAATTCCCTTAACGGACCCCTTCCTACAGAAATCAGCAAGCTTTCATCGCTCAATGTCCTCAAGCTGAACAAGAATCAACTTTCAGGGCAAATCCCGGCAGCTATCGGCGGATTAAGCAAGCTCTACGAGATCCGGCTCTCTAACAACCGATTTAGCAGTGAAATCCCCGCTCAAATTGGACAGCTCAAGAATCTACAGAGTATTTTAGATCTCAGCTACAATAACCTCACGGGCGGCATTCCCACATCCATAGGGACGCTATCGAAACTCGAGGTGCTAGACCTCTCTCACAACGCATTGACCGGAACTGTTCCACGAGAACTTGGCCTGATGAGTAGTTTGGGAAAACTTAATCTCTCTTACAACAATCTCCAAGGGAAATTAGACGATGGCTACTCAGACTTACCGGCCGACGCATTTGTTGGAAATCTCGGTCTCTGTGGTCCTCCTCTCGATCGTTGTCCGAACTCCAGAAACCAACAACAAAGCAGGCTAAGCGAAGCATCTGTGATTGCAATTTCGGCTGTATGTACCATAGCTGCCATAGCACTAATGTTTCTTGCAGCCTTGCTATTTTTCAGAAGGAAGAGGTCAGGATTTGTAAAAGCCGGAGACGGGACCTCCAGCAGTTACTATTCGACCACAAATTCGTCACGAGCACAAAGAAGACCACTCTTTTTCAAGCGTGGTTCCGCAAGACGTGACTTCAGATGGGAAGACATTATGGAGGCCACAAACAATCTAAGCGATGAGTTCATAATCGGGTCAGGAGGGTCGGGAACGATCTATAGAGCCGAACTTATAACTGGTGAGATAGTAGCCATCAAGCGGATACCATGGAAAGACGATGTGTTTCTTGATAAAAGTTTTGCCCGAGAAGTGAACACGATCGGGCGGATAAAGCACAGACGCTTAGTGAAGTTACTAGGGTACTGCAGCAACAAAGGAGCAGGATCGAACCTGTTGATATACGAGTACATGGATAACGGAAGTGTCTACGACTGGTTGCACCAGGAACCAGAAAACATCAAGAAAAAGAAGACCCTTGACTGGGAGGCAAGATTGAAGATTGCGGTTGGGTTAGCCCAGGGTGTGGAGTACTTGCACCATGATTGTGTGCCAAAGATCATTCACAGGGATATCAAGTCGGCTAATGTTCTCCTAGATGTAAACATGGACGCACATTTGGGAGATTTCGGACTTGCAAAAGCCATAACCGAGAACCATGACTCCTTGGCTAACAATTCGTATATGTGGTTTGCAGGGTCTTACGGTTACATAGCTCCAGGTATGACCCTAAAGTCTCTTTGAACTTTATATGTTAAATGTAGGCTTAGGAACTGATCAAGTTGGTTGCAAACAGAATACGCTTACTCTTTCAAGGCAAGCGAGAAGAGTGATGTTTACAGTATGGGGATCGTGCTGATGGAGTTGGTGAGTGGGAGAATGCCGACAGAGGGGAGTTTTGGTGAAAACGTAGACATGGTGAGATGGGTTGAGTCTCATATTGAAATGCAAGGAGCAGGGCGTGATGAACTGATAGATCCGGTAATGAAACCGCTCTTACCTCATGAAGAAACTGCTGCTTTCCAAGTTCTTGATATCGCGCTCCAATGCACCAAAACTGCTCCTGCCGAGAGGCCATCTTCGAGGCATGCATGCGACCTTCTGCTACATGTATTGAGGGACGGAGAATCGACTTCTGAAAAGATGAGTCGAGATCCATATGCATAGCTCAGATCAGAAGCAAATTCGAATGTATATGCATGCAAGACTTGCGTATTTTGACCATTATAGATGATGTATCTAAGTTTGACTACTTCTAAGCAACTAATGTAAACCATTTTTCAACTATAATTGTGTATCAAAAATATGTTTGGCAAAGATTCCAACAATGGATTCACCAAGTTCAGTAACCATGACATGAATTAAACTTGTATCACATTAAAAGTTGGATGACAACTTGTAGAGGCCATACCAAAGTGTGTGTAAAGGTACAAAGATTTATTCTTATTCAACATGGGATTGCATGTACTAAACTGCAACATTCAATCACATAATAAGCAGCAAGTCACAAGGCCTCGAAGAGCCTTACAAACACAAAAGCACGCAATTCGGTTGAAAAGAAGAATGTCATGAACCACAAAAATTTGCATGGAAACTGCATTCTCTCAAGTATTCGCTATCGTGCTACTATTCATCATCTTCATCTGCATTTCAGAGTTTCAGATCAATTAGATGTTTGTAACCATAATCATTAAAAAGGCTATATGAGAGCAAAAACAATGGAAATAAGAAGCTTTAAACAGAATATATATACATATATAAATATAAATAAACCACTTCTAATACTAATAGTTCCACAAAATTTCACTTATTTTCAACTAATTGGGTACTTCTTTTTTTATGTGCATGCTAAAGAATCAATAAAATGTCAAGGTGACATCAGGAGACCACCTACTTTGGAATGGATAAAACTGCCATAACTGAAGACCAAATTAAGAAAATTTAAATTTTTTACTTGGGGTTCTACTTCTTAGATATTCCAGATTAGAGTATTCAGTATGGGCCCAGGCTGATTATGAATCAAATAGAAAAGCAATTCTAACTAGGTGAGCAAAGCACATGGAACAAAAATACTCGAGTGAAATTCAATTACAGAAACAAATTATATATGTGGTAACAGCAAGTATTTTCTTTTCAATGCAACCGTTATGGTATAAATTACGCTCTTAACCTTGTCACTATCTCCGCTTCACAAACAGAGACTTAATGCTACCATGCACCAGCATTCTTATAACTAGAAGGGGCAATTTTGCTCAAATGCATTAAATTGGGAAATTTTAATTAATGCTTGGGCAGCATAATATATATGAACTGGTAGAAATGGTCACAACTTTAAATCTCCTCTTAAGTATCTCAAAACGCCTAAATCCAAATAGAACTCAGCCTATTCTATTTCCAACACAGTGCTCGCTGCTTAATTCATCATCTTCTTCTCTCAAGTCCCTCCTTTGCAATCGGTTTATCATCCTCCCCCCTGCTCGTTATTTCAAGGCATCATCACATCTGCTACTACTATCACTATATGCTATTTGTGTGTATATACATGTATGTATCCAAGAGTGAAATAAGATCTGTGTATTCTGTTATGGCTTGAGTCTCTTATTCTTCTCTTTTGATTTATTCAATTTGTAGTTTAGGGTTCTTTCATTTTGCTACTCTTTTTTACAATCATTTGACTGATTTGAGTTATGTTATATGCCATACTGAAAAAATAAACCATTTTGCTTCACAATTTTTTATTAAAAAAACTAATTATCTTTATTGCTTTTCCATTGATGTGCAAATCCGAGGTATACACACAAAATCCTTTTTGAGGGATGCATTTTAATTTTTAAGTATGAACATATTATAGATTGTGAATTAATAATGCTATTGTGTTTCTAAGCACTGCAACTCTGGTGATTTGTACTGATAACCTTGTTTTTATGTGTTGGTCAATACTAGCTTCTTGTAGCATTAAGTATCAACTTACAAGCTAAGATGTTTATTTTGTAGCAACTGCCTTGAGCAATATTTGTATTCTTAAAAGCTAACGATGTATCTGCATAGTGTTACTGTTATGAGCTGAACTACAACAATGTCTGTTGATCTCAAATGTTTCTATTTCTTACAAAAGATGAGTATCTACTTGTAGATGGAGTAAATGTTTTGATGATTGTTCAAGCAATACCTTGGTAACTTTATAGCATTATTTTGTCAAGAATTGAACAGCAACATTCCAATTTCAGTAGCCATCTTTGCCACTTTAAAAGCAACATGTTAATGAATCAAGTCACCATGTTGTGTGTTGTCTACTTGTATTAATTTTCCATGTTCTCTATATAAATAAGCAAGAAGTTCTTGATGTTTGATTTGCTGGTTTTGATGAATTGAACTAGAGGTCTCAGTCCAGGAGGGTATTCCTCTGCTGTCCTATGCTGTTACAGCGGTTAAAATAGAAAATAGCGGTCAGGACCATGATTTGATATAGCGGTTATCGCTTTTTGATAGTAAAGGTGGTACAGCGGTCCACAAATAGCGGTTCATGTAATAATTACAATTATATATAAATGTATGAATGTATACATAATATAACATATATTTTGAAGATGAACATAAGAACACGTGAAGAGAAGAGATGACGAGCAATCAATCTTGGGAGATAATGTTGTTGTGAAGAGAAGATGCAGATTAGTAGACGGGAATAGAAGAGATGAGAGAGGAATAGCAAGTTTACACACCAATATTGCAAATCAAATCAGTCCCCTAGCTCGTAATCCCTTAACCGACTTCTCTAAACCCTTTAAAAGGTCAACTGAAATCCCAACTCCTAATCGTGGTATTCATACCGCTATTGCAAACCAAAATTGGGGTAAACTGCAGTGATTAGCGCAATTATTAGCAGAACCGCTATTTCCCCTAGGACCGGTAACTGCTATAGCACCGGAATTAACAGCATAGCTGCTGTCATCTGGATGAAGTTAAAAAATCAGGTGGATTCACACCATAATGTATGTCTTTAGTGGTTCCATTTATTCAGCGAACCGTAACTTCTGACTTAAGGTGCATTTGGCGATTGTTGTGTGATGTATGTGTCTTTATCATGTCAATATTCTTTTATCTTCAGCGGTTGGAATGGAACTTTGTTTCTGCAAGCAAGGAGCAAAAAACAAAATGGGCTGTGGTGATGTCAGAATTTGCACCTATTTATATCTATCTAGTCATCAGTCTGCTAGTTTCTTAGATCCCACTCAGTATTCCTTTTCCATTTGCTTCCAACAGTTCGCCTATGCAGAAACAAATGTGGTTTCAGTATTGGTGATGCTAAAAGTCATTTTGATATATGCTTTTGTCTTGTTTATGTTTTGTTTATCATCCCTGATCCAGAAGTCACTTTTTCCTTCCCTTGGGCAGTACCTCCCAACAAGATTGATCCCTTTGGATCTTGGTCCATGAAGATCTTTTATTAATTTTGGCGATTGGATCTTTCTATTAATGGACAAGGGGTGCTTCGGATCAGAAGTAACCACTAGTGATGGGGGAAAATTGGGGAAAAGAAAGAGTGATGTCTGCATTAAATCAATTGATTTGTCATGATAGAGAAGAGAATTGGTGAAAGGACTGTAGCCACTATACATAAACAATTGTTTCCAAACTAACAACCCATTAGTAATTTCAGAAGCACTAACATGATTCTGGTAACATCATGGAGACGGTGACAGTAAATAGGAGATTGTGACAGTAAATAGGAGATTGCAGTATTTCAATCTACAACCTGACCACGCTTGAGTCTTGACAACTCAGTTCCCGGTGACCACCCCACTGAAATCACCGGCTCAGATTTAAACTGTGGTCGTTGGTGAAGTGGTAAGCAAGGTAGATGAATTAAGTGCTGTTACCATGTATTTTTAGAGTTTGAGGGTTAGACATGTAGATCAATTGGAAGTTCAGATGGGGTTTTGGCAAGCAGTTTAGTGGGTTGATGGGAGTGTGATTCTGGCTTTGTTTAGGGTTTTCAGATGAATGGCTGTCATCTATGGACATTCCGATAAGAGTCTCTGAAATTCAAAGGTCTGAAGAAGTTAATGCAGCTTTTCTGTCAATTATGCATCATATTTTTTAAAAGATTGAAGAAGAACAAGAGACTGTTCACTGGAATAAGTATTCAAATTACATTACTATCCTTGAGAATCGAGCACAGGTGTGAGTTAATGGGACAAAAATCAATGGTGTTAACCTCAGGGATAGAAATCGTGCAAAATGCCGTTCATGTCCGGGGATGGTTTTTGAAATTTACTCAAATATAAATCTAGTGCTTTCTAATTTTTAAAGATCAAAAAAGATAATTCTATAGTAAATAGTGAAGTTTATTGTTTGACTTCAAATATAAAGAACAAATAAAGAGTTAACATAATAGCAAAACAAATGCAATTTGCTTCATCGGTGTTTATGTAATTGAAAAGTAGAGGAGAACCTGAAGGAAAAGAACACATACAAGAACACATCAATTGGACTAAGATTTCAAGAACCAAAAGTAATACTCCCTCTCTCTCAAAAGAAATTGCAACAATTTCTATTTTGTCCCAAAAGAAGGGAATAATACCTATTTGGCAAGATTCCTTAGCAAAATTACCCATTTGTGCATTAACAGTCTTTACAAGATATTGATGAGATCGATCGTGGTCCACAAGTTTCTCACCTTGTCTTGAGATATGAGCTCCCTTCATTTATCTGTTCTATTTCACGTTTATTTTTAATAGGATCTTGCGGAAGTAAATTGGCACTTAGAGTAAACTACTCTCTTTTTGTAGCATGTTCATTGAAATGCCATAAAATTACTCATCAGAACCCTCAAAAACATCAAAACGTTTGTAACAAGGCAACTCTGTGGGTAGGGCATGATCCTCATGTAATTCTATATATTTATTGTTTTGCATTCTAAACTTACACAAATCCATTAACTTCCAAGTTCTAAATCATCCTTATTCATTCATCCTCTTTTAGAAGCTTAAAGTGATTTATTTTTGTTAAATTCCCCTCATGAACCGAAACTTAGAGTTAGATTCAGCATAGTTAATACTTAATAGTGAAGAACTGTGTAAAGGTAGGTGGTCATGGATTTCTTGGCACATGTGAAAAGGATGACGACCAACATCCTTTCAAGCTCGAATGCAGAACCGAAACAAGTAAAATTAAAAATCCACAGATATCTTATGGTTACACATAGAGATGGAAATCAGATAGACGATTTAGGGTTAGGGTTAATACCGAAATAGCGGCGCTCATTAGCGGCTTTGGCTTTGTCGAGCATTTTATCGAGGTCTTCTTGAAGCTTGGCGTCCCATTTCACTAGCTGGTTAGCGAACACCACTCCTAACCCCATCCCCAAAACATGCTCCCACGGATCTGCAGAAAATTCAAATTAGAAGGATTTATTGAATTCATTTTAATCATAGGACAAAGAGAAATGAACAGCTTACGGCGCATATAAGGGAGTTTCCGGAGGGCATTGGAATACATCTGGGTGCCCAAACCCAGTAAAGCTCCGATCATTGTCGCTGACGCCGGCATCGTTGTCTCTCTCCCCTCTTTCTCTCTCTCTCTCTCTCTCTCTCCCCTCTTTCTCTTTGGTATACCTCTTCGTGGTATTTGTACCCATTAGTTTTTTCACAACTCACAGGAAGCCCCTTCAAGTTTTAAAACTAGCAAAACGGTCCATTAATGTATAAAAATATCACGGTTTTAATCAGCAGCGGAACTGGGTACCCACTTGCGGAACTGGAACTGCCGGTTCCGGAACCGGAACGGATATGAGTGGTTTCGGTTCCTAAAATGCAGAACCGATTGAGAATAGTTTCAGTTCCCCATTTTTCGGAACCGGTACCCACCGAGACCGGTTCCAGGACCAGGTACCTGGAACCGGCGGGTGCCCTGAACTAGAACCGGCGAGTACCCGGTATTTTTCAATTAAAAAAAATTAATTTTTTAATACTAAATTGAAATTAGGTCAAAAACTTAGAACTCTAGATTAGATTTTAGGTCTCGCCTCATCGACTCATACTCTTAGTCCCGAGGCCTCTCACGGACCGTCTTAATCGACTCATAATCATTAAACTTTGAACATTTACAATTATAGTATGTAATCRTTAAACTTTCAACATTTACTATTAGTCTATTATGGTTTGTAATCGTTAAACAATATTTGTAACCATTATTCCGTATAATTTGTATTCTTGTTTATTTATTTAGTGTTTTGGCAATGTTTTAATTTTTATTTCTAAATAACAAAAACTTAATATTTTAGGAAGTGGGTACCCGGAACCAGAATCGGTTCCTGGCGGTTCCGGTTCCAAGAATTCAAGAACAGTTCTAACCAGTTTCGGTTCTGGTTCCATCTCAAGAACTGCCGGTTCCGATTCCGGTTTCTGTCAAATAGGGCGGGTACCCGCCTATGCTCACCCCTAGTTCTAAATACCCTGAAGTTTGGCGTAACGGCGAGGCCAAGCCTTGAGCTTTAGAAACCACAACGAGGTCATGATATTTTTCAAGGCATGACTTATGACGGTAAATCTCTATTATCATATATAATTATATTTATATATATATATATATATATAAACATATGTTTTTTTTTACTATTACAGTATTACTCAATTAATCAATGATAATAAACAATTTAAATTAAGTTATATATAAAAACTAACAAATAAGATATTAAACATATAAATAAAATTAATTATTGTGTTACAAAAACTGTGCATTACGCTATGATGTACTTCATGATTAACGTCACGTGAGATACAAACCTTAAGTCACGATGCATCACGACGATTGTTGTGTCGAGCCTTTTTAAATAGTGAAAAATATTGAATTTAGACTTCAACATATTTTTATAATATGATAATAATGAAGCATATCATTTTTACAGGGATGGTCATTACACATAGAAACACAAAATTTCGTACATCATACACATTTTAGAATTCATATATATTTATATTATCTTATAAAGCATTTACATCAAAGTCTTAAAAACAAGTTTTGTTGCACAAAGTATTGTTTATTTATGCATAAAAACTTAAAATCTCTTGATTATATATTAACATGCATGATGTACAACACATTAATGTATCTTTGTAATTATTAGGAGACGATTCACGCTTCTTTTATACTTTTTTGTTTGAATTTGAAATTTAAATGAAAGATCCCAGGTTCAAATCTAAGGAGGGATAAAAATCTCCTTGTGGCTATGGAGGTTCAAATGTTGTGACTCTAGGCTATCTGCAAAGCAGGTGGTCGCCCTGGGATTAGTCGGCTCGCATAGCAGGTTGGATATCCTGGTTAATAAAAAAAATGGAAGATAGTTGTATTTTACATTGTCAAGGTGCTTTTCAGATCTAATCCGTTTCCCAAGCTTCTCTCTTCTCGGCTCAAGGCAACGATCCTACTAATCTTTATCTCTCGATCATTGTAGCAACCCTGGATCATTATACAAGGTAACCAAAAGCATCAAGAATCACAAGATCTTCTCAATGTCCATCTTCATCTTCATTTTCGATGAACAAAAGTATTTGAGTTCTATTCCAATTTTCATCTCTATTCGATTTCAATTTGCAGCTCTTCATCTTTGTTGTTCATCCGTTCGGTTTCACAAACCAGAGTTAGTGAGTAATGGATTTTGTTAATTCGTTTGTTTGATTTTTGTTAGGGTTAGTAACATATTTTGATCCATATTTTAATTCTGGAATGGGTTTTCTTCATTTGTTCGATTTTTGATCTAGAAGAAGAATTTTGCGTGTTGGCTTAGAAAAATATGGTTAGGTTGAAGTTCTTTTGAAGACTCTTAGCGATTGTTCAAAATGTGTTATCCTCAAACCCATATTTGTGTCTATGGTCTATGTTGTGTCTTACGGTTAGTTTACTGTTTCACTTGCTTGATTTCCTTCTTGCGGTTGCGTGCGCAGTTGTTTTGGGCCAAGTAATAAAAGCTAGATAAGACATGCAAAATAAGTTGTATCTTACGAGAAGCTGTGTTTCTGGTATTATCCTTCGTGATTGCAAAAACTCCATAAAGTTATAAACATAAGCCTAAGATTAGTGTTTGAATCGTAACATAAACGTGGACTTGCTTATTATTTTCTTTAGGCATCTATGGAATTCATTCATGGTTGTCTTGTTGAGGAGTTGGTTAAAATGACCATGGGGCCATTTACATCTTACCGCTAGGTGAACATGACAAGGACCGAAAATCTTGATAAGAGGAATAACAAGGTTCGAAAATCTTACCCGATAAATGTTTTCTATGTTGAAAAATTAATAAGGATTAGATAGATAAAAGGATAAAGTTTAGCTCTTTATATTCAAAAGATAAATTAAAGTTTGAAACTTTATTATTCAAGATTACCACTTTAATATCCGGAATAGAATACCCAAATCAGTTACTACCACATAGATTGAATCTATCATCCACGATAGATTCAATGAAAGAAAGGAGTAGAAGCAGAGTTGTACACTTAGTGAACAGAAAGGTAAATGGAATACATGAAAATTAAAACCAACATGTTTGAAGTGATATTGAATCAAGAACTGCAGCTATAAACCTATCTTTAAAAGTTTTATATGACCACCCTATTAAGTTGTGAGTCTTTTATTCGCAAAACCCAGGATTTGATGCAGTAACTTATTTCGTTTATCAACATCTTTGATAACGAAATAAAAAACAAGACCGATGTAGAATGTTGGTAGAAGAACACCGTTTGAAGCAGAAATTCGTGAGAGAAAATGGAGCCGATGATTTTTGGTGTGGTTTTGATATGGTTTAACCCAATATTTATATTGGTTAAACCACCTCATGATCACGTTTTTATCCCCAAGAATCGGGATTTCGATGGGTTAGTTGGAGGATAATTCTCCAGCTATAATTATCCTTCACAAAACGTGTTTGAAACTGATTTTAATTTGCTTAACACCTAAACCAATAATTAACAGTTTATAATTAAACAGTAATTATCTCTCTCTCTATAATTGGTACCAAAAAAAATACTCGGGGCGAGACTCCGATGTGGCATGCGAAGTGCAAAGTGAGCCTTTCTTATGCCACTTTCGCGAATCCCGCGCTTGCGCCGTTGGCCTCAGCCTTGGCCACGTGCGCACATTTGTGTTGGACTTTCCACTCATAACCCTCACCATGAGTCTACCAACTTGTTCAAGACCCAATTGAGAGGAAAGCCTTATAAAGCTCTCTAAAATTGTTCTACCTGCCAGCCAATGTGGGATGGTGGAAAACCTCCAACATCACTAACATTTCCAACATTCTATGCATTTGTGTGTTAAACATGCCAAGGCGTGCATTGTTCTTATTTTTGTGTCTTATAGTTTTCTTATTTTCGTGTCTTATTTGCATAAACATATGATATGACCAAGAGGAAGCTATTTTAAAAATGAACAGGCATTTGCAAGTTTCCATAACCATTTATTGATTTACTTATAAAAGAAATTCTGAGTAGTTTGATTGAGATCTTTGACTGATGAGCAATTTAAATTTGATCATATACAAATTAGTTAAGAGGGTGTTTGGGATTGATTAACTTATTGACTTATTTCAGTGTGGTACCGGTAATAAACACTCAATGTTACACCTTTATAACATTATGTAGAATATTACGTTGACTTCATAAAAAGAATGTATTCGTCATTGTAAGAAAAATATTATGAACATGATACAAAATAGAAAAACTAAAGAAAGAAATAATAAACAAACATAACAAATAGAAAAAAGTATTAGAGTAAACTATAAATTTGGTTCATGTGGTATGTTGGTTATAACGATTTTTTGTCTCTACGGTTTTGAAAATACAATATGGCTGTCGTGGTTTACAGAAGTCCTCAAATTTGGCTTTTCCCTCTAACGTTCGTTAAAAAATCCCATTAAATGACAGGCAAAGATTTTTACATTTTTCCGTCTTTTTTGTTTAAAAATAAATACTAAATATCTATTACATACACACGTTTTACAGAATTGACTTGACCATCCTGCTTTTAGGCCATCTAGCCTTCGGCCTTTCAGCCTTCTCTATGTCGATGAACCACCAATATTTCAATCACCACCCACCACCAAAAGCAGAACCACTTACCATTCACAACCAGCCACCACATAAACGAAATCAAGTCATTCCGGCAAATAGTAGAAACATTGAAGAAAATTCAAACTTAAGATATAAACTCAAAATACAAACATAAAAACCTACCATTTTCCAAAACCAAGAATTCAAAATCAAGAACCGTAAATCAAAATACAAACTCAAAACCTAAAATCGAACCCTAAAAAATCTAAAGAACTAAATCAAACCATTTTAACATATTAAAAACTAAATCAAACCATTTTAACATATTAAAAACTAAATCAATTCCTAAAAACTGAAATCAACCCCTCGATTTATTCAAATAAAAAATATAATATTTGGATATTTGGATGTAGGCATGAGAATGGACCGCGTCCGGGAACCTAGTCCACCCGTCCTGATCGGGGACGGGGATTCCCCACTAAATCGGGGATGGGGACGGGGATCCTCGTTTTTCTCAAACCGGGGACGGGGACGGGGATGGGTATGGTACTCCCCGCCCCGCCCCGTACCGTACCCGTTATATATATTAATTAATAAATTATATATGTATGTATATATATATATATATATTATTACAACTAAAGCGGTAATTCATAATTTCTTTTTTTGTAGCTAGTTTTATAATCTAAAATTGTTATTTTTTTTTTTTGATGTTAATATGTAATATTTTGGATATCAAGTCAAAATACAATTACTCGATAAGTTTTGTATATTATTCGATATGATTTTATATTACTCAATATATTTTGGTACATGTGATTTTAAGTTTTTTTGTATTAAATTGATTTTTTTTTTGGTTTTAGGTTATTAGTTCTTATATGATGTTGTGGTTTTTTTTTTGTATTAAAATAAATTCATTTTGGTTTTATGTTTATTGAAAATGTTTGAGATTTAAACATGTATGGTTTCTCATATATTTAATTTAAAATAACTTACATAAACGGAAAAAAAAAATCTTCGTTTCCCCGTTGGGGATCCCCGTTCCCCGTTGGAGATGGGGGATGTGATTATATTCCCCGGCGGGGATGAGGACGGAGATAGCAATAAGTAATCGAGGACGGGGATGAGGATTGAGGTCTCCGCCCCATCTCCACTCCATTTCCATGCCTACTTGGATGTAGATGACGATGATTATTGAATGTTAGGAAATGGTTTTTTTTACAGAAATCGGTTTGGGTTTGATTTGAGCAAATAAATACCTACAAGCAAATCAATTTTGGGTTTGGGTTTTTTTTAATGTGAGCTTATGGAGTTTGGTTTTGATTTTAATTTTGAGTTTCTTAGTGATTAGGGTTGATTTGGTATGTTTGTTGTGTGTTTTCTGGTTGGTTATAGGAGAAGGGTTCTCACAAGAGATAAGATAACTTGATTGGAGTAAGGGTGTGGCCAAAGATGGCTTACAATATTGTGGTCTTTTATATTAGTAAATGTTTTATATATTTGCACAAAATTTATGTGAAATTACATAAAAATATATTAAAGAATGAGAAAAACAACTATAATACCTGTAATTAAAAGTTCTTTTTTAAGGAAAGTATGGGTAAATAGACCTGATCCATTTGGGCAAAAGTTGATTATCCCAATGCAACTGAACCCACATGGACCCCCCCCCCCCCAAGGACACCAATGCGAGAGGGACATTTTTGGTGATCCATAATGGAAATGAAACCATGAGGACCCTGGTCATGAATTTTAGAGAGTTGGGACCTTTTTCATAACCAACATGAAACTACATAGATGGAATTTGTAACTTGCTCTATTTCTTACATTAATGGTTGTGAACATAGAAAGAAACGTACGGATAAAAAGGGTAATGGATCCATGTCCCTACATTTCACAACGACTTGTTTCCTTTGATTATTTCCCCTAAAATACATGAATTCACTCAAATTTCAAACTTTCCATTTCTCTCCATAATTTATCTATCTGCCATTGCTTCTGCTTTCCTTATGAATCTAGGTTTATGTTTCTTGTTTCCAATTGCAATGGGATTCAAAGATTGATAAAAGACAAATTCTTGGATTGTATTAATGGCGTCTTTACAGATTGAAGTCGCTTCATCTTCTTCACCATTTGGGTACTCTAATATCAGGGATCATAATCGTTCATCAAACATCAAAAAAGGCTATATTCATTCCCATTCACGCATCAATGAAGATGATGATTCATCATGGCTTCCGGTCCAAGATTCTAAACCCACCACTGATGATTCTTGGTTACCCACTGTTGCCTCAGAATCCGATGTTTCGAATCATCAGAAAGGACAAAACAAAGATGCTGATGATTCATGGCTTCCAACATCAAATGACGCCAACAACAAGTACTTGAAAAACAACCATGAATCAGATAATGATTTTGACTATTCATGGTTGCCATCCACCTTCATTGAGAACAAAAACAAACGCAATAATGACAACATCAACGACAAGAACAAAAACAAAACCACAAACAAGAAAAAGAACATAAACAAGAACAATAACAATAACAACAACAAGAATGGCAATGGCAATGGCAGCAATAACAATAGTGGGATACAGAAGAAACCAAAGAATGATCATTGGGCGTTAGCCCGTGAAGTAGTTTTCTCATGTGAGCAAAAAATCCAAAATGCGGATCTTCTAGAAAAGTCATCAGATTCTTCAAAGCGACATAATTCTCCTAAAGAGAGATCTACGGTGGAATCTCCATCTTCTGGCGGGGTTTCTTCGCTCCTTCAAAGATGGAGGGATTTGGCTGAAGCTAAGAACTCAAACAAAAATGATAACAGTTCTCCTCCTAGCAATCGTAGCAATTCAGAATCAACATGTAAAGAGAATAAAAACAACAAGTCTTCGAATAGTCCTCCTTTAAGAGACGGGTTTGCAAAGAATAATAATAACAATCCTTCTCAATGTCCTCCAAGAGGCTCTAATGCTTCTGATGGTGTTACAGTCGAAAAGAGCAAAGATTCTGATACTGATTGGGAATCTGATAAAACAAATCGTTCCAGGCGCCTTTCATGTCCGCTTCCTAGTCGAGATTCTAAGGACTCAAATAACGTTGATGCAGAAAAAGAGAAAATACGGGTGGTGGATATCATCAAGAAGTTATCAAGAGAGGAGGAACTGGCTGCTTCTTCGTTGATTGGTGGAGATGGAAATGAATCATTGCCTCCAATTCGTACCAGTCGTGTTAAAGTTTCAGGCCATTTGATACGAGGTCGACATGCTTTCAAAGTTTTCCTCATGCGAACGGAGCACGATAAGATTCAAGAGCTCAAGTGGTTGGTAGAACGTAAAGTTGTTTCAAAGTTTCCACATCGAAGCCGTCTCCAAGTACTAAATAACATACATTTCTTTAATGTTTCCTTCAATTTACATCTCTTAATTTTGTTTAAAGGTAAGTTTTGATGTCTTTACAGTCTATGCTACGTATTAGAATGCTACGTCTTGGAGCTGAACCAAAACCAGGAGTCAAAGGACATAAACGGTGCGTCTCAAAAACACTGGAATCGAATAATCGTTTAGATATCATGGATCTAAGGTAACGTTCCTTCTTTGTTCACTCACTATTACCATATGAACAAGTATGCAACATGAATATATAATTGCATGAAATTTAGGGAAAAATTTAACTCAAGAGTTGATAAAGGAGAAACAGATTCAGAGAAACATAAAAGAAATGTGATGAAGAACTCCCCAGATGAGGAAATTTATATCACCTCCAACCCAACCAAACAGGTGGATATCAAGTCTAAGGCCATGACAAAAATCAAGACCAAGACCACCACCATCAACACCAACATCCATAGCAAGAAACAAGAAACACAACAAAAACTAGAGCCAATGACTACAAAATCGACAAGTTCTTGCAAAAATCATCATGTGATGCATAAAGCAAAAGATGTAGATACTTATTCTAACTCCAACATGGGTAAAGAAGACATGATACGTTACAAGGATGATGATAAAGATATTTTCCAAGAAGATGAAGGTCAATTCATGTCGGCTAAAACATCTTATACTCACATGGAAGAAAAAGGGATTAGTGACTCAGAAAATGACGCTAGTATGAAGCAAGGGTTAGAAAGCTATGAGAATTGGACGATAAGTGAAAATTCTCAAACTCGTAGTGACTTTGATGAAGACGAATCTTGTGAAATGCAGTTTGATACCACCCATGATTGGATAAGTGACATTTCTCGCCCAAAAAGTGATTGGGAAGATATGAGGCAAGCCAGGTACCAAGAGATGCTTGATCCTTTCTCTGGACATATAGACATAAGGAGACTTCTTGAAAGGTAAGTTAATTAGCGTTGTCACTAACTTCTTGAAAGGTAAGTTAATTATCCTTCAGTTTTGAATCATTCTTTTAATTTTCTTTTGTTTATGTAGGAAAAATGTCTCAAGTTTCCTTGCAAGTAGTCTACGTGAAAAAATAGATCAACTAATGATGAGTCGCATCCAACAATCGAATGTCCAGGTAGGAAAACAAGTAGTAGTAAGAGAGAAATCTGAGTTGAGGAAGGAAGTCATGGCCATTGAGGGAAAAGAATATGAACGAGAACAAAATTGCTCGATGGTAGATGAAGATGGAAGAATGGAGAGACAGTGTTGTGAATATAGTGGATTTGTACCACCATACTTAGAACGATCATGGAGACCTAATATTGATATCAATTCTAGCTCTGATCCAACAACATCTCCATCTTTAGAACAATCTATTTCATCTAATCGTTCACATAACAATGGTACTCCACAATCCTCTTCTGTCACCCCTCGTCATCCTTCCATTGTAAGTTCTATTCTTTTTATCTGGTTTCATATGAAACCTACACAAATGGATTGATGAAATGAACGATTACTAAAGATTTTGGTTATCTTATGACAGGAGTTGGAGCTCATATATGACTTGAGAGGACATATGGAGCGACTTCATCAAGAGATTACGGAGTTACGTAAATCAATAAATAGTTGTGTTACCATGCAGATCAAAATGCAACATTCCTTTAAGCAGAATCTTGAGGTTGCTGCAACAACTCGTTCAGGTGAGCCATCTTTCAAATGTGTTTACATTAGAACCTATTTTTCAGTGGATCATATTGTTATAGTTATGGCTACAGTTCAAAATAAAGAAGGAAAGCCACCGAGTTTGGGGAAAAATGATTGTTGTATTTGTAATGACATGCAAGTTGATTCGCTTCTCTATAGGTAACTTATTTTATCTTCAATTTTCTATAAAGTTTATCACTTTTTATACATAGTCTTGATACTATACGCCACAAATCCTTAGATGTGGACACATGTGTGCTTGCTTCAAATGTGCATTGGAGTTGCAATGCACCAGTGGGGAATGCCCGATTTGTGAAGCCCCAATTATGGATGTTGTGAAGGCATTTGGTCGTGATAATTGAAAGAGTGTGGCTAACATTAGACTCGTTCTACATGCTTTGATCCATAAATTGAAGATGAGCTACATATCTGATTTTTCTTGTTTTGGTTCCTTTGGGATTCAACTATTGTATACTTACAGATATCTATATATATATATCTATAATACGTCTATGGAAGATCATCCTGATGAAATATGTAAATATTCTTCAAATTATTCTGTAAATATTTGGGTGTATCTTCTTGATTGCTTAGTATACTTTCCTTGTATGATTAGAGATCTCTTGTAATCATGTATATATAACTCTTGTTAGCAATGTAAAACCAAAGTTTTCCAACATGGTAATCAACTGCAAAGAAGGTTTCATCTATTGATGTGTTTTAACCTTCATAAACTTTGAATTCTAGAATGAGATCACAGTGTTAAATTTTTGTGACACTAACTTAACACGTCATAGAGACTAGTACACTACTTTTAAAGTCGATTTGCTAGTCACGTACATCAGATGACAAATCTTGGTACATATTTTATGCTTTCAGGAGAGCACCAACGTTACATAGGCAAGTCATGTGAATCTATGTCATATGTGTATGTGACTACTTATGTAGGAGGAAAGGTTAAATGGGATGGTTTGTGGACGTTCCGATTTAAGGAAGCCCAATTCGAGATGGAAGTCAATAGATGTGGGGTTGTGAAAGTATTACAAGAAACCCAATCATTGGATTAAAGATTGCTAAAAGTTGAAGGATGATATTTTTTAGGCCACATGTTGAAACTCTTACTTTTCCAATGCATCGTATCACGTATGGCACCTAGTTTAGGTTGTTTCTCGATTGTTGTTGAATATCCATGAAATGACGTTTGTTTGGGGAATTTTTGGTGGTCATTTTCAGATTTACTTTGTTTTGGATGAGTGTCGTTTGGTTTATTATGAGTCTTGACATTTGGTTAGATGCAACATGTTCTTCCCAAGTCTAGACTTCAGCTTAGATGCAACATGTTCTCCCCAATTAAGTTCTCATTCATGTCCTTCTTTAAGAGTATTCACAACGGAGGTTATTGTTAAGGTTTTTTTTATTAGGGTTTTGGTAAGAATGTCTGTTGTGGGACATAGGTTCTTGTCCATTCACATGTTCTAATAAGAACCCAAATGCTTGAACAAGAAACCAAGTTCTTGTGTACCTTCCTTTTCTTATCATTGTTTGTTATTATTTCTTAACCATTTTATTTTATTTTTAAGTATATAAAACATATAAGTTAAAACGGATACAAAGTTTTTCAGTTAATTATTTTAAAATATATTTTTACTAATTTTGTTTTAATTTTTTCATTTATTGTAAATTTTTGTACAAATTTGTATTTTGTTTTTATAAAGTTAATTTTTAATTAGAGTGAATTATGGATTTGGTCCCTGCGTTTTGATGTTTTTTTTTCTAACTAGGGTCCTTATGGTATGATTATTATGGATTTAGTTATTTGTGGTATTCAATTTGTCTTGACCATGGTCCCTCTGACTAACGTCATTCAAATAAATCCGCTAACTCAGTTAAATCAAAGGTTTTTTAGTCTTTTTAACTAGAAAGAAGTAAAAACAATATTTTTATATACATATATATATATATATATATATATGTATAAATATATCAAAACAAATAAAATAATACATCGTTTTATGGTTTGATTTGTAAAATTAAAAAATTAATTATATTAAATACAATTTAAATTTATCGTTCTATTGGAATGGTGCAAAAAATATAGTTTTTGTTTTTGTTTTAGTGTAATTAAATAATTAATTTAAACAAATCAATCATAAAACCATATCTTATTTTACTTAGATTTAAATTAAAAAAAACTAATTATATTAAATACGATTTGATTTTATTGCTCTTTTCCACCATTGCGATAAACAAGCTTATTGTCAATATTTTGGCACCAAAATCATTGAAAATCGTGAATAAATGAACTCTAATTTTATCATCCTAAAACTAGGGTTTCCATTTTTCAAATTGTTCTTCATCTAAAAACTCAAAATCAACTATTTATATTTTAGTCAAAGAAAGATTCATAAATATAACATATTATCATTTTGGTAACTTAATATTCAACAAATCTCTATATAAACTGCTTCCAAGTTTCATATTCAATTAGGCAAAAAGACGAAAACAATAAAATTAAATCGTATTTTATAAAATTAACTTTTTTAATTTAAACAAATCAAATCATAAAATAATAATCGTGTGTGTATATAAATATTTGTGTGTATAAAATATGTTTCTACTTTTTTTCTAAGAAAAAGACAAAAAAATAGGCAAAAAAAACTAATACTCCTTGATTTAACTGTGTTAACAAATTTATTTTAGCGACGTTAATCAGAGAAACTATAGCCACAATAAAACATAAGAAACAAATTTATAATAAACATACAATAAAAACCGTACTCAGAAAAAACATCAAAACACATGGACCAAATCATAATTCAATCTTTTAATCATTTTGTTATATTATTACATTTAGATTATTTTTCTATATATAAATTAAAGTTAATTTATAAATGGTAAATTAATGTTTGTAAAATATTTGTTCTATTTTTATAAAACATTATATATATATATATATATATAGAGAGAGAGAGAGAGAGAGAGAGAGAAATGAGCGTTCAAATAAAAACCGACCCCATTTGTGTAAACCGTGTAAACTAATCTCATCCATCCATTTTCTTGATCAATGGCCAAAATTAGTTTACTTTATTTTAAGAAATTAAATAAAAATATATATTAAAAATTTATTTTATTTCAACAGTAAGGGCATAAATGGTAAACAAAATTTAATATTTGGTAACATCCTACTCGATCTTTCATTAATCTTTTTCATGCAAAATTATTTTCTTCCAAGATTACTTTATTTTCATAAATCTTTTTTCATGCAAAATTATTTTCTTTCTTTTGTTCCTGGTTTGATACATTAATTCCTTTAAGCCTTGCAATCTTAAAGATTCTAAAGAATATTACAATCTTCAAGATTCTGGAGCAGTTTCTTCATGTACCCGTTTCATCATTCAATTATTTCATGACGAACCAAATGCATTATGCAACTGTTTCACTAGTCATGCTCAAGAACGCCTGAACCAGTTTCACTTTCATGAAACCTATTTCATGTACGATAATTTTCTTATTTCACCACTGATTTGATGGATTCATTCCTTTAAGCCTTACAATCTTCAAGATTCTGGAGCAGGTTACAATCTTCAAGATTCTGTAGCAGATTAAAATCATTTCCTCGTTTCATCATGCACTTAGTTCATGACGCATCAAATACAAAATGCACCGATTTTCCTCTTCACCAACTAAATGGATCAACTACACAATCAATGCAACGGGTTCACCATGAAAATGTTTCGGTTCACATGAACCAGTTTAACGTTCATGAAACCTGTTTCATTTCTGGATTTTTTTTGTTCATCTACGATTTGATGATTTCATTATACACTTCAATTGTTTCATCAAGACCGTTTGCTGATTTTTAAAGATTACAATATATGAAATTCAAATTTTTAATATTATAATATAATTAAATATTTAAATGTTATCATTTATACAATTTCCTTTATTACGTTTCCTTAATTAAGATTTATTAATAACTTTCATATTTAATAAAAAAATATTGTAAATGACTGAAATACTCTTATTGATTAATTTTAATTAGAAAAAAATGGATTTTTCCTAATGGTCGAAATTGGTTTACACGGTTTCTTAGAAATGCACGGTTTTCATTTGAACGTGCCCATATATATATATATATATATATATATATATATATATATATATATATATATATATATATATATATATATATATATATATATATATATATATATATATAGGGGAGCGATCAAATGAAAAACACTCAATTTGTAAAAACCGTAAAAACCTCATTCCACCAACTCATAATTTTTCATTTTGTTCATTTTTTTTGTAATTATGAGAGGTTGATTAATCATTTTTATTGTGGAGAATGTTAATCTTGGATATTATCATCTTCATTATTTTAATTTTAGAGAAATACATGAAACAATGTCATTAAAATTTCATCAAGTAGTATATGAAACAACTTCATCAAAAAAAAAGTATTATATGAAACAATTTCACAAGATTAACAATTTCATGAAAAAATTTCATAAGATTAACGACGGATGAGAGTAGTTTTTACGGTTTTTACAAATTGGAGTGGTTTTCATTTGATCGCTCCTCTCTCTCTCTCTCTCTCTCTCTCTATATATATATATATATAGACTTGGGATCATATGAGACTAAGGCTTTTTCATGAGACCCGTAAGACCAATTCTCAACTCTTGGATTAGATCTACAATCTCAACATTCATAATCAAAAAATTGCCACGAGACTTCTCAATAATTACAAAATTGCCACCGTGCAACTTTAAATCATTAGATCATTAGCTTATAAAGTTGATCAATGAACATAAATTGGTCTCACGGGTCTCACGAAAAACCCTTAGTTTCACGTGAACCCAACCCTATATATATATATATGGGTCAATTCAAGAAAGAACTGATTAGTTTGTGGTAACCATGAGATCCAATGTGAATCACGCTTTTAAGATATTTAAGTTTATTTCTTATATAAGCTAAAATGGTAATATAGTAATTCTATTTTTTATAACTAATCAAAATATTTAATTAAATTTTTTAGAATGAAATATTTAATTAAAATTAGTTACCTAGTATATCAATTACCTAATATATATTGTATTTAAAAGACGTTCGTGAATCAAAGTATATTATAGTGGTAACGTTCACAATGTTTCACGTGTATCACAATGTATTTTCTTTGTTTTATAAAAAATGTATCATAGTGTGCGTTTTCGTTTATTTTCATTGTTTTACAAAGGATGTCACATCGTGCATCTTGTATGTATATCTGAGTATCACAGTGAATGTCATTTGTAGGTATCACAGACAGTGTGTATCTTGTATTCACATAAAGTTTATCGGAATAAGGTTCGCC